GTATTTCACTCATTTACCCGTTTATCGAGCCCAGTAACATGTCTTTGACTAAAGCTTCATCTAGAGACACATCCCGTCTTGATTGGAACCCCTCAGGAGATGGAGAATCCACCACTTGCCTTGATAGTTTGTTCTGATGGTTTTCTTCCAATATTGTTGCCTTACAACGAATTTGAACGTGTCTGGTTTAAATTTCTGGCCATTGGTTCTTGTTCTTCTGCCTTTTCTGCTAGATTAAATAACTTTTTAATACCCGACATTTTCTCCCCAGGAAGGTATTCATACACTAGTCAAGTCACTTCCTCAGTTTGATCTGAACTGAACCGATATAGCTCCTTAAATCTCTCATTTACAGCTGTTGAATCATCATTGAGGCTCTTCTATGAGCCCTTTTCAATTTTTCAAACCACAAGTTGTGAAACGGGTGCAAAAAAATCTAGAGATTTTAATAAATATTGGGTTGCTTTTATTTGCTTTCTGGTTGGTGAGCCAGGAAGTGAAAGGGAGCGGGTGGGGATTGTGTTTTCAAGCTTTTCTTTGCAGCCAGTGGGGATAGACACTTCCTTTTTTGATTAAATGAAAGCTGAAATTCCCTGGTCATTGCACGAGCTGTGGATTTAAGGAAAAACAGCAAATACCATAATAAATATAGCCAAGGTTGGCCACCCCTCACGTGTTTGAATGAGGGACTAAGAGGAGACATATTCTATCCTTGGGAGAGAAATTAGCTTCATCTCACATCTCTATCCCTTCCAGCCTACCCTGCCCATGCACCTACTGTCTCAGCCACTGTCTCCTGCCCGGACCCAGAGGAAACTCCAGGGAAGAGAGATTCCCACATGTTCCTCTGTGATGTCACTGGTTTCTTCCCAGCAGACATCAGCCTCCACTGGGAGCACAATGGCTCCGTAGTCCCACATCTTCTCTCCGTTGTCATTCAGGACTTGAGCACATTTTGCTCAGCGCTTTACAAATGCAATTGATTGGTGCCTCTGACCATTTTCTCTCTCCGCTCCCAGCACGCGAGGGTCTCGTTCACCCTGAGGTTCGCTTCCTGGGCCCCTCCTGTGAGCGCAACGCCATGGAGAAGCAGATGGAGGTGGTTTGCCTCCTCCTAAGATTCAGCCCTCATGCAGCCAAAGTGGAATGGCTGGTAAATGGTGAGAAGAGGAACCTTCCCACCATGGACTTCTCCGTTGGGAAGGGCACAGATGGCTCCTACATGGGCCAGAGCCGAGTGAACATCACCAAGGAGAGCTGGGAGAAGGGGGACGTCTACACCTGTAAAGTGACCCACCCAGCATGGGGAACGGAGCACTCCATGCACAACACCAGCAAGTGCTTGGGTGAGGGGCTACATCCGTGCACAGTGGGGTGGGATAAAGGGTTACCCAGAAACCAGCCTCACCTAAGGGTAGGTGGGACTGTGCCCAGATCCCAGGGTGATAGGTGACATAGAAATACAATAGAGAGATAGATACTGGGAATGGGTGGGGAGAGGGATGGATGGATGCAGTGACAGATATGGTGGTTGGATGGATTGAGAGATACGGTGGATAAAAGGATGAATGACTGGAAGAAAGATGGATATGATGACTGGATAGAAAGATAAGTATGATGGATGGATGGAGTGAGAAAGGGGATGTGGATACCTGAATAATTATTAATAAAGATATGGAGCCATAGATGTTGCATGGGAAAGTGTAGATAGAGAGGCAGAAAGTGCTACAGGATTGTTAGATAGCTAGAAAGAGGCTTTTTTTCACTGGTTTCTATCTTTCTTCCTTCTAACATCCCATGAAATTGAGGGATCACAAAATTAGGGGAATGAAAGTATCTCTCTAATCTGTTACGCCCATCACTATAGTGTCCTTCATGGCCCAGGGAATTCATGGAATCTTTTGCTCTTCTTTCCCTATTGAAACGAGTCCTTTGTATTTCTCAGCCTGCCTCAGTAACTCAGTGGCTCCATCCGTCTATGTCACTGAACCGTCCTACGATGACCTAATTGGGAAGACAGCCCGTGTGACGTGCCTGGTGCTGGGCTATAGCTTGGTAGATGTTTGGGTGGCTTGGGAAGTGGATGGGAAAGCCAGCTCTGATGCGGAGACAGGAAACCCGGAACAAGCCAATGGAACCCAGAGCGTCACTAGCACCCACAAAATAACCTTGGAGCAATGGAAGAGCAGGACCAAGTTCACTTGCAAAGTGAGACTTCCTTGTTTTGCAGAAGTCACCCAGGATATGCCACTCATGGACACAAGTGAGTATGTCTGCGTTTAAGTT